TGAATGCCTCGTATTTTGTGTTATGCTGTATAACCAATGCTCACATCGACATGTATGCGTTTGTGTGTTTATTTTGGGCCGATCATCGGCGTACAACTTGAAGGCCGCTGAATCGTTTTCTTTTAACTATTCGACTGTCTCCATTCTACTTCTGATGTGCATATCTTCTCTTTATTATTTTATGAAATATCACAACTGACAATGACCGAAACAATGGCAACATTTGGCCAACATCAACCAATTCCCTACCGACCATCGCGATATATATCATCATTTTCGTCACGACCAAAATCATATCGAGCTCAGACCACCCGATTAATCCTCCAGAGACTAAAGGGGATCCTTTTGAGGTGGCAAAATGGCCCGATGCAGTGCCAGCTGAAATAATTTGGCTAAAGGGAATCGCTCACATCTTATCTTCTAAGCCGGTTACTAAGACCAGCCTAGAGAACGGTTCTTCCGGCGACCCGTCCATTGTTGAGACCGCAGACGTTAGCTCGATGCTGCCTGAGTTTGAAGTCCCATCGTTGCAAACGTTTTTAAATGATGCCAGCATTCTTCATACCTTCGTGGCAGATGGGCCTCTAAAGTCATTCTGCTACCGACGACTTAGTTATCTCCAGTCCAAGTTTTCTCTTCACAGCCTGCTCAACGAGGCCCGAGAGTCAGCCGAGCAGAAACGAGTTCCACATCGGGACTTCTATAACATACGTAAGGTAGACGAAACGAGTCTATCTGCCTCCTATAGGCACCTCCAAGCAGTAGGCGGATGCATTAGCTACCCTGTGGACAGTCTTGTGCATTTTGCCTTCCCTTTCTTTCATATGGGCCTTGCATTGATGCCTTGGATCTGTGTTAAAGATGGATCTCGTTAATTGAACTTAGGCCTATCATTTACGATGATCCCTCGAAATACTTGAACATCTGTCTTCTTCTAACCTCACCTTCTAATTGAGCTTGCTTTGATTATGTTCAATGTTGAACCACAACATTTGTGGGTTGGCACACAAGAGACTAGGACATAGCAAGTCATAGACTTGGTATTACGGAATTAAACAGGATAGACGTGGTGGAGACTAGAGCTAGTTGACTAGCAATAGTCATGATTTTATGATCACGTCTATGATCAAACACGCATATTGTTAGCCAAATAGCTTCAGTCTCCACCACATCTTTTCTGTTTTTATCTGTAATACCATGTCTATCACTTTATATTTCCTAGTCTCTTGTGTGCCAACCCATAAATGTTATGGTTCTACCTGTTTTGATTAGGCTCACTGAAGACGTCTCCTCCTGGCTTCTGATTGTTCCTTTCTGGTCCCCTTGAGAATTATTTTCCTAAAATTAAGGATGCTACCTTTATTCAGTCGTCTTCATTTTGCTGATTTATTGTTGCCTGGTCATCTCCGACTTTGTTTACACAATATGCAAAGTTTTCGCTCATCCTGTCTTCTTCAAGTCTCTTGTTCATTACATTTCTCTCGGTCAGTATATCGATGTTGTGGTGCAACATTA